GATTGGTGTTCATGATCGCTTGCTGATAGTACTCAGTTGATGTAATCATTGGTGGTCATGGTTAATGAAGAAGCGTTTTAGTTACTGGATTAAACCAACGACAGTATTCTTCTGTGGAGGTGTAGAAATGTGAATACTGAGCAAACTCTTCCAGTATTAAATGTAGCTGGGATTTATCAGCGATATTTTGGATTTTCTCTCTTAGTCCTGTCATTCCCTATGTGCAAAAACATAGCATCCAAATAAATAGTGTTATTATGGATTTAAATTAATTTCTTTGAGAATACAGTTTGGATTAGTAGTCACATGACAAAATGCAAGCCTCAGTAGTTCTGTAGCCCATCTTGATTTTTGTGGTTGTAAACATTTGAAATTCAGAGTATAAATTGAGCATTGTGCAAATAATGGGTTGACAAACAATTTATCAAGGCAGTGTTCACACAAGTAGTATTTGGTTCTTAAACTGTGTGCCAGCACAAATTATTCGGCTCTTCAGCAAGGCAGATTGCGAAACTGATCTACTGACTCTTTCTTGATAACTTTTCATCTAGCTCTGTCCCTGGTCTTGTTCGTCCTTTAGTTGTGGAGATGTTTTTTGATCATGCAGGCAAGGCCGATTTAATTATAGAAGCCCTGGAGGAGAATGCAGTTTTTCATGCAACCTGAGAAATTGAAGTGGCTGTTCTTGGAAACTTGATCAGTTTTGGTTGATGAATAATTGTATAAGTGTTTCCGGATTGGGGGGTAGGGGTGAACTACCCACACCAACCACCCCCCACTTCCCCCAAAAAACCCCACTCGGACAAAACTGAGAAACCCTATACCTATCACAAAACAAGAAAAAAACACACTTGACAAAAATACCAGGATCTAAGCTTTTGGATTTCAGTAGCTGCGCAAATAAGCTGCTGGTCTCTTCCTTCAGTACATGTGATGAAATTGGTAAATATTAAGAGGCACTACCTTGTGCAAATTTCTCCAAGTCATCATTTCAGCCTTCAGGACAAGGTTGCTAATTCAGCAGTATATCAAAAGAATTTAGTTTGAGGGCAGTTAAATAGTTCCTTCTTGGACAATTGTGGGATGTCTGATGGACTCTGGTGCACATATGTCAAAATTTAGCTTCACACTAAACAGCTTTCAGTGTAATATGACAGCTTTCAGCCTCTGAAGCTGAAATTTCTGGCTCGTATTCTGAGATAATAAATAAGTGAGATTGGATAGGTATTTTTTAACTAAGTATGTAAATGAAGCTGTTCTCTTAAGAAGAGCACTTGAATATTGTCATCTTCGTTGTGTTGGTGATTTTTGGATGGAATTAGACTGACATATTTCATAGGACACATTTTTTACTGGTTTTGAATACTTGGTTAATTTATCAAGTGGTATGTTAATTCTTTTGATACTGTCAGACACTGAGGCATTTACATGTGATGGGTGAGGAGAAATTGGAGCTAGTTTATTGCTGGTGCATTCTGGAGTATAGTAAATGCTTCTCAGCGAAGTGGGGATTATGGTAGCTGTTTCCATAGCATTAGTGGTCAAAGTCTGTTTTACTACTTGCAGTTTCTTGCAGCAGTAGAGAAGCTTAAAATATTTCAAGAATTAAGTATAGGCTACTGAATTAAGTCCACTAATACTTCAGAGGGAGTGCTGATAAAGCATCACCTCACTTCTGGCCTTCCCAAGTAGTAAATAAGTAAGAGTATCAATTACTAAGGAGTGAAGAACTGGGAACAGAAGCTGACTTCAGCAGTTCCATTTCTTAATTCAACAAGCAATTCTTCCAGCCACTTTATTAACCTCTGGAAATATTTTCTTATTGATTATGGGGTGAAAAACTTTACAGTGCTTCAGTGTTAAAGATACCCTGGATGCTCTCATGTCTAGGAAGTGTAAGTATGCTGCTGCCTTTCACTCCATTACAATACTTAAAGAGTGTATTTCCTCTGTCCAACTGTTGTCTCTTCATAAAATTTGTAGATGTTTTGGGAACCATCAGACTCTGTAAACACTTCATTGAGGTTAGATAGTAAGTAGTCTGGAGGTGGTGATGTGTATATGTTGGGAGTGGTGAGGCTGAATAGGAGTGGAGACATGTAGTGTGACCATATTAGCTTGGTTTCCTAAGGACAAGGCTTAAAAAAAGATCCTTGGAAATACAGATGAAGTGCCAGAGGAGAGAACGATTGTGCACTTTGAGAGCTTATCCCAGGGATTACAGAAGATGAAAATTCCAGCAACTGCTTTTTAAATTTTTTTTCCAAATGGCAGATCTTAGGAAAACTTTATAACTTGAATATATATCTCTGATTTTTCTTTGGTTATCACAGTATAACCAAAGATGAGATGAAATCCGGAGACCTCAGCTCTTGAAATGCAGTATCTGAAAGCTTTTAGCATGAAAGACTATTCTTGCAACCAGAAACTTGTACATCATCTTTTTTCATTCAAAGGCTTCTGGACCTATATTACAGAAAGTTTGGGAAACCTTTTCATAGTTTCAGGTCCTACATCAGTTAAGGGAAAGTAGCTACTATAAATGCATGTGTAGTCACAGCAGGGTCACGGCTATATCTTTACAGATAATTACATATTGGAATAATATTAAATGTCAATTAATGGATTAAGTGTGTTGGTAATGCTTGATAGTATTTCTCCGTAGTTTAATAAAGCAATCCCACTAGTCAGGCTTTGCCATCAGTCTGTTGACCTAAGTAAGAGCAGCTGTGCCTATAAAAATAAGGATTAAATGATCAGTGTCCTGATCTGCTTCCCATTGTGGTGAGAATCCTCCCTATGGTTTTTGTGGGAACTTGGTTAGATTCCTTAAGCTACCCAGAGAAGCTAACAAGAGTAGAAACATCTCTGCCTGAGAGAAATTCCTTGTTCTGGAAACTAACTAGGATATGTATTTAATATTAATCTAATACAGACTCTGTTTAGGTTACTTCGGTTGGTGGTGGTCTCAAAATTTAGCAAAAATATAACGGCCAGTGAAAATGTTTTGGTTTTTTATAAGGTGTGAACTTGTGCTTTCGTAACACCGTTTCTAAACAGACTGGACAGCTCCCACAGAATGTGTTTTGGAATGCTGGTCAAACAAAGTGCAGAAAAACAAATATTGTTTTATTCTGTCAGAATGAAAAATGTTTTCTCCACAGAAGTTGATGGTATTGTGGAGGAGTAGCATACTACCTTCTGTGTTAAAGGTAATGAATAGCTCACATCAAAAGGTGCCACTGCTAGCACGCTTGACTGTAAATTTTTATTGTGGAACCTTGCAGTCTAGGGATTAAAACCTGTGTAATCATTTCCTTAAGCTCTGATGAAGCTTGCAGGAAGGTTTGAAAATGCTTTGAGAAATAGTGCATCTTAACACTCATTTATGCAAGACACTGCAAGTGGTAATTGTTTTCTAAGTGGGGAAATGGGTACCAGCTGCTGGGCATTTCTTTTGTAGTTCAACTAAACCCCTAATGACGGTTTTCAAAAACAGACTCTTGTAAAGCAATCTACTCTCCTGGGCTTCTAAAATTTTACTTAAGTGCAAAATTTCTGTCCTGTAACTTAAGTAGATAATCCAAATTATTTGGAGGACTCTTCAGACTACATCAAAGTGCTCTTAAAACAAACAAGTGTTTGACTGCCTGTCTTGCACAATGAAGCTGAAGTTCTCCAAGTCTGTTTGGCTTTGTTGCGACCCCTTTCTGATTCTTATTCTATGCAGCACAGAAAGCAAAATTTGAATTTATAAGACTGCCACTGGTGGAAACCTTTGCAAATCTCCTCAAAAGTTAAATTGGACCCTAGATTTGATTCTTCTAGTAGGGGAAGGGGCAGGAGGCAGGAATTGTGAATTGGGATAGTTACACTTTAATAGAGTCTTGGAAAGTTGCATGACTGTAGCGAGAGAAAAGGTGATAGGAGTTCAGGATGAAGTAATCGCAGACTTCTGACCCAGATGAGAGCAGGGAGTTTAACTGTTCATTTGCTTTATCTAAAACTTTCTAATGTGCTGCTGTTAGGAATCAGTCTCTGCTATGTACTAGTGCTGGCTTTGTCCTGACTTCTGTTATGCCTGTAACTTAAATATTTATGTTATTATTTTGGGGATGTCCTAGGAATGAGCTAGAGTAGCTTAACTTTATCAGCAAAAGCTTTTTCATTTGCCTTGATCCAGAGTTCTACCTGCAAAAACACTTGAGTTAATTTTATTAGCAGGATTTTGGTTTAGGAGTCATTATCTATGTAGTCTTGTGGGCTTACAGTTCCAGTGTCTATCCAGAGGCTCTTAATTAAAGTAGAAATTCTGGTAGCAAGCTTTTTTACCATACATAATGTGAACAAAAGCCCTGTATGAACAAACTTTTAGGAACTCATCGAACCATGCAAAATGCTCAGCTTTTGATAATGAAGTCACTTCTTGCCCTTTCTGGGACATTACAGTTGTTTGCTTTCATTAAGGGAGGCAAATTCTTTTCATTAATTGCTTGTGTTGTGTGCTAGTTGTTTGCCAAAGGTTTGCAAGTTTGCATCTTTAAGCAGAGGTACCATCTAATAAAAAAAAAAGGCGCTTAGCTTTGAATTACTTCTGTGTATGTATAGTAGGTTACTGGTAACATCTGCTAGATGGCTTAAGTTTAGACTGTATGTAATTCCCTTTCTACTTTAGTCTTGCTGATGTGAGGAAAAGCTACTATCAGTTCTCTAGCTATGGTAGCAGAGGTCAGGATGAGTTTGTCCCAGCTGATGTGTGATGGCCACTGAGTGGGCTAGCCACAGTTACTGTGGTGATGCTAATATGCTAATATTGTCGTTTTGCAGAGAGAGGGATCAGTTACTGATTAGACCAAAAATTTATCCTACAGAGAAAAGCTGGAGTGCCTCAGTGAAGCTGCCCGTGTGGATTCATGAGTGCTTTGTAGTGGCACAAGGGAGAAAGCTGGGAACAAATTAGTGTATGATCATTCTGTAGTCAGCTACCTACAGGTAGTTTGAAGTACTCTGTGAAAGTTAAAGTACTGTACCAGTTATACTGGTAGATATCCACTTGTTTGGCTGGTCAGTGAATTTTTTGGGGGGAGCTAGTGTAAACCGTGTGATCTTGGCAACTTGTTTGAGTAACAAGTTTTTTACCTTCTTGTATGAGTAGGGTTTGGGTCCATTGCAGTGCGTGAGTATACGTGCTACTCATGCTGCTTGTGCTTTATGGGTAGTTTAACTTTGGTGCCTTTTGCTACTGTTGATGTCTTATTTGTTAAGCATGTTTTTTTCAAGGAGTTTTGCCACCTTTTCTACAGAAGATGCTATGTATATTTTTCTGTTTCAGGGAACACAGTTCTCTAGCATAGTATTAAACCAAAACAAATGCCCAAACTCCACATTGCTGAAGGAATTATTTGAAGACTTAGTTGTGGCAGTATATGAGAGAGCCTGTTAGGCTCAAGTTCAATTTTTGAAATGTGCTATACATTTCAAGGCACTGAACTTGAATGATCCCTCAACTGTTGTCCAGTCCTTTCCCTGAATGCTTATCAGAATGGATTCAAGGACGGGATTTTGGTGGTTGTGCCATATCTACATGTCTGCTTGCATAATCTTTACTCTGCATCCACTCTTCCAGCCTTTTTTGGCTCAGCTGCTGTGCATAATCTCTCTATCAATTGCTTAATCTTGCTTTTGCTTAGTCATGGTAGGGATCCCTTACCCTGCTAGCTGTGGTATCTTAGCTTTTCAAAAAACGTGGTGAGTTAGCTTCTTTTTTCTAAAAAATACAACTTTCCTGATCTAGTAAAATAAGTGTCTGCCTTTAATGCAGTGATTCAAGTTTTAGAGTTCTGGTACTGCTGGAAACTGGTAGTCCAGCCCCCAGCTCAAACTAGGATTAACCTGAAGTTCAGGTTCCTTAGTGCCTTGTCTAGGCAACCTCAAAGGATAGAGATTCTGTGTGCTCCCTTGCCAGCTTGTTTCAGTGCTCGATTGCTCTTCAGAATAAATAGACTTTTTGTTACATCTACCTGGAATGTTTTTGCTACAATTTATACCTTTTGGCTTTTATCCTTTTGCTACATAAAGCATTGTTTGGATAAAGATATACATTTCCTGCAGAATTGAGAACATAGAATGTAGCTTTAGATAATAGTTGGGCTATTAAAAGACTGACTGATTCTTGTAATGCTCTAAATGCTTTAATTGCTAGGGGTAATGCCTCTTACTGCTCCATTGCTGATAGTCGAAACTTAGCTTCCTTGGTTTTGGCTTCAGAGAGTACATGAAGCTCTCTAGTTATTCAGAGAGGTTTATCTTTGCTCTAAGAAGTCTAGCAGCTGATTTTGCAAGTACATTTTTTTTTTTTATTTTTAATGTGAAGAGTTTCCATTTTTAGAATGTGGAATGGTGTTTAGTAACAAATTCAAACTCATTAAAAATTGCAGCACCCAGGTGGTGAAGAGGTCCTTAGGGAGCAAGCTGGAGGAGATGCTACGGAGAACTTTGAAGATGTGGGCCATTCCACAGATGCAAGGACAATGTCAGAAACCTTTATTGTTGGGGAACTTCATCCGGTGAGTATGTGAGAGTACCAGTACTTGCTGTTTACTATGGTGTGTTTGTGTCTAGCTATTTCTCTGGTAATTTACTTCCAAATAAAGGAGAGCTCTTAGTTTGGTTGGATGCCAGCCCTGCAGCTGTTTTTGGACTGAATTAGAGATAGGTTCCCCCACTGTGAAGGGATTTGATTAGTGAAGTGTAAGGATGGTCACTTAAAAAAATTTGCTGCTTTGAAATATTTTAAAGCCTTGTTCTTGAATAAACTGAATATGGAATCACACCATTTCTGATGTGCCCTGTGAGCTTTGTAATGACACTCTGTAACCCCTCAAGGTGATAAGTCAGAATGTCTAGACCTTTTCTTATGTCAACATGTAGAGTTTTCATTCAACATCTGCTTTCATTCTTTAATGACCATAAATATGTATGCCAGGTTACCATCTCGATCTAAAAGTACAATCCTGGCTCTTCATATGTATGTTTAGAAAATGACTGCTGTAAGCATCTTACTTCTAGTTTGATTCTCTGTCTTTCCCCTTTCTGTTTCCCCTGTTTTGTGCTGTATCCATATTCCCTACTTGTAGTTGTCGGGGTTGGCTATGTGATCAGTTCCCACAGGGTCATTTGTCACTTTTTTTAATACTGTTGTTATCATTTCCTGTGCTTCTAACAAGCACATTTCTGCTGCCTTAAGCTTTGAAGGCTTTATTTCTAGCTACAGAGCTGTTGCCTTGGCTTCCTTCAGATACACCTTTTTTAAGCTCTCCTGCATCTTAACAGTAGAAAACCACTTGTTACAGAGTTAAGCTGGTAGTGTGCCCATCTGCTCTGTTCCACTGCCCGTTCCTGCCTCCTCTTTTCCTGTATATGTTTTGTCTTGCATTTGGGGTAAATATCACTGTCTTGAGTAGCATGCTTCACAGTAAGATTCTTGATCTTATGTCTGTCTTAGGTCCTCTCTTGATAAATATTAATACTGTAGCTTCTCCTAATACAAAACAATTCAGATCTGATGCACATTAGTAACCTCGCAGGTTTGTCATCTATTTCAGATGGCAGTTGATGCCAGTGAAGTTGTTTGTAACCTGACTACCAGTCCAGTTCTTCCTTGTTTGACAAGTGCCTCTTTTCATTTGATATGAAAGAAGCAGCTTGATGGTTTAATATACAAATACAGCACTATCAAGATTATATGCTGTTGGGCTTTTTTTTTAAGAATGTGACTGTTTCAAGTAAAACTTCATGAGGCTTATGAACATTCATAATTTTGGACCTTTGTACAGGACATTGGACCACAACTAGTTAGATATCTTTGTCCATTAATATGCGTAGACTAGCTAGAAGTAAACAAATATGATTGTAATTGGTGTATGAACTAAGGTTACGTGTATTGCTTAGAGGTGTACAGGTGCACAAGAAATAATGAAATGTATTGGGAGTCCTGTGTTTCGCTTCTTTATTGTATACTGGGAAGTATTATTTAAGGAAGTGATCTTGTTTATGGTGGCTCAAAAGCATACACTGACATCTGCTCTTTTGCAAGTCTGTTTCCTAGGTAAAAGCAGATACATGTTAACAGAATAGAATTGCAAACTGAATTTAGTGATAAGCGCTATTTGACTGATTTGGGGTTTTGTCTAAATGTTTTCTTTGTTTTCTTGCAGGATGATAGAGGGAAGCTTCAGAAACCAACAGTAAGTGTATTTCTTGAAAGGCCACATTGTTGCATTAGGAATGGTGTCTCTGTAAATGGTATACCCCCAGAGGCAAAAATAGTTCAGCTTGATTTAAATGTGGTGTTCCAGTCACAGATCTCTTCAACATGTTGATCTAGCTTCAACATACTCTTCCTGTTAGCTATTCTTTTCTTTAACTTGTGTGTTTTTTGAACTAAGAGGTTACTAAGTGTGATGATATTACACTATATATAGCAAGAAGGTGAGCCTAGGATCAGACAAAGGTTTTCTGGTATTCAGTTTAAGAAAAGCTGTTTATAGACAGGATGGATCAAATTAATGTGTGTTTGTGGGGAAAAAATGTGATGCTTAACAATATACTGGTAACACCAGTAGATATAGAATTATAGAGGCATTTGGTTGCTCATCAGTTAATTTGCAATTGTGAACCCTTTTCAAGGTGACAATACTGTTTGCTTCCTGACTGTGTCAGTATATTTTGAGTGTCCTGTCAATGCAGTATTACACTTATTTTCTAGGGTTTTTTTCTATCTTTAGTAGAATGAAGTTGTGTTAGCACTATCAAACTCATAAAATGCAGATGTCCTGTAAAGGAGCAAGTGCATCAGGGATTAATTTGTACAGTTGCTGCTGCTATGTGTTTAGAGGATGTTTGCTCAGGGCTGGATTTAAAAGTACAACAGTGCACATGGGAAACAGTCAGAGACAATTTTTAGATGAAGTGTAGTAGGAGTAGAATATTACTTTTTGTGTTTGAGAGATTACTTTTTAGAAACAATCACTTTTGTAACATCTTCCAATAATATCAGTAAGTTAAAGGAAAGTTAATAAAATACATAAAATGAAATATTTACTGTAGCAATTATTAATTTGATTAAGGACTGTTATTAAGGGCAATTTACACTTAAGTTGTGGGAGCAGCGATCATAAATGCGACTGAGAAACAGACTATGCCATGTGAGTTGTATTACTACACTCCTTTGATTCAGCTCACAGAAACTTACTAAACTGAAGTACTTAAAATATTAGTTTGGTCCCAGTGTGGTCAGTTGGGAGTTAAGATGTATCCATATTACTTTTTACTACACTCCTGTTTGGCTTATTGGCTGGTTTGGGTGCTGGTCCTGGCTGCGCAGGCTGCGTGCGTGTGTCCCGTCATTCCAGAGGGGAGCTGGAGCCGTTTCCCCGGCAGGACGGGTGGCTGTAGCTGATAAGCCACTTTCACTTCGCACTGCGCTCCGAGCCTGTCACGTCACGGTTAGGCCTTGTGTGCCCTGCCTCTCGCGGAGACATCAGAAGGCCTGGTGCTTTCTAGTGTCCTTCTTGTCCTTGCACTGTATTTAAAGTACCCCTAGTGTATACATCCAGCATCCTACTGTTTAAAAACAGGCTTTTGATGAGCTAGGTCATGTTCTTACTGTCTTGATGTGGGTGGAGCTGTCCCCCAGCCCTGGAAGTGGCAAGGCTGTTCTAGGTGTTAGCCTTGATAGTGCGGACATAAGCTGTTCTGCTTGGCTTGGGATTAGTTTTTCATGGAGGCTTTCAGAAGACCAATATCACTGAGTCTTGTTTTTTTAAATGTGGTATTTCTCACATGTTAACCTGTGATGATTTGGGCATTTGAAAAAGTAGCCTGGTTGAACCTGTGAGAGGATGTTAGGAATCTTTTGCTCTTTAAATGAATTGCAAATATTCTGATACTGAAGCAGTTTGTTTTTCAGTGATGGATCTTGTGCCACTAAATTTAAGTACAGTTTTAATGCTTGAATCTTTTAAATGCACTCAGGGCCATGTGCAATTAGTAGTATTCAAATTAATAAGTCTTCATATAAAGTATGTTGAGTAATGTGCCCATGTACTCAACTGGGATTTGATCTTGTAGTGCTGCTTTTTCTATGGAAGCTGAACAAGTCCAAATCAATATCAAAGCCAACTATAATAATTTGATTCTTACATATTCTGAAACACCACACTAAAAAATGAACTGTAATAAGCCTTGTGGATGTAAATTAAAAGCTTGCTTCATGTAGGTTTCATGTAAGAAATACTTGTGCGTTAATTCAGGGTCTTTTCATAGATTTTAGGGAAGTAAGAGATCTTAGCCTTTTAGGTGACTAAAACTTTTCAAATGTAACCTGAGGTTGAAGGTAGCTTCATGGAAAACTTGCAGCAAAATTCTTTGTGTTGATATTTTTTAATGACTTCTGATGCAATGTTGATTACAGAAACTGCAGCTAGCTAGCTTCTAACACAACAGTCTGTTACAGGAATTCAGAGAAAAAGCTATTCAAATGCAATGCACTGAGTTGTTTTTAAATTAGTCCCTCTTAATGAGTTTTGAGAAATTGAGGGGCTAGTTAAGATGGAGGGGAGTGTCTGCCTGAGGTAAATATCTTTGTTTTCCTTTCCAGGAAACTCTTATTACCACCACTCAGTCTAATTCCAGGTATAGTATGACACCTGATGGCAACTTGAAATTCCTTATGATAATGTTTCTGAAGCTTATGAAGTTGAATAGCTTCTGTCTGCTAGAAGCTTAGATGCAGGATGGTGCATGAAAACTTCTGTTCTCCATAAAGTCCAAGTTGGCATCCATATACCACTTTACAAGCATATTAGTTTACTGTCCATATTTCTTTTCTTGCATTGATATGTATCAGTCTGTACCAAATGGCTTATGTTGCACAAGCCTTCATTTCTGGAGGCATGAGGTGAACAGAAGCCACTTGTTGCACTTACTGACTTTTGTATTGACATGGATGCCTCACTTTTAAAATTTGCCACAACTGTTGCATCCAAGGGAAGTAAGAGGATTGTGTCTATAAGAAGGAAAAATCTGTAAGGGTTGGGGGGAGGAAGGGAACACTTTGGGACCCCACTGAAACAAAGTTATATACTGCTGACAGTGGCCTACTGTTGAAACCCCAGAGGACTGTTCCATGCCCCTCTGGGTGGTGGGGAGCTTGGGTGCTTGAAACCATCATGTGATGCTGCTGCTTACATGGCTTTTGAATGAATGGTGTTCAGAGCAGCATGCCATGACTTTCAATGTGTCTAGAGTCTTACTCTTCTCTAGTAAGCTGTAGTGCAAAGCCTTAAAAGTACAACCTGTTTTTTACTTGTCTGGCACCTAATACTTCAGCCCAGGTGTTCTGTTGCCTTGACTTTGAAATATTTGTTGGAGTGGGGAGGAAGGATTTTTTTCTTTAAGAAAAAAAATGTTGCTGGTTGTCAATTCCTAAACTGCTGTTTCAAAAACTTCCTTCTAGTTCATGGTCCAACTGGGTGATCCCGGCAATAGCAGCAATTATTGTGGCCCTGATGTATCGTTCCTACATGTCAGAGTAAGCGCCTTACTGAGAACTAATGCAAGAAGAGACTGATCTGGGAGAAAATAAAAGCAATCCTAACCCAATATGTTTCTGAACAAAAGCCTGATGTCTGAAGAAAAATTCAGCTTTTTCAAAAAACTGAACAATTCTCTTCTGCTGTGCACTTTTCTTAATGTTGCCTTCTTATTTGCTGCTCTGAAGTGATAAAAAGGCAGGATTTCTCTTTTTGTATAACAATTTTATTCTCTAATGAGTTATTTGATAACTGTATTGGTTTCTATTTTAGAATATTGTTTTGTATGTAACACTGATTCTGGTTATTTCTCTTTAATCTGTAATGGGCTCCATAGGGCTCTCTTTACATATAAAATTTACAGCTTTAAATGACTACCAAAACTGTGTACATGTATTGGTCCATGTACACAACTTCACTTAAATGTAGTATGTTTGAATGAAATGCTAATTAAACCTAATGAAAAAAGCTGGGTGGAGTAGGGGGTGCAGGTGCCTGTGATCAGTTGGGCCCCATCAATCAGGCTATAATGAGCTGATTATTTTTTTTCTTCCATCTTATATCTGCTCTTATAGTTGTTGTAGATACTCCTACTAGCAAACTATTCTGTTTGGCTGCCATTGAAAAATTCAGGCAAAATATGAAACCCAGTGTTTGGCCGAATTAGGTCTGTCTTCATTTGTGAAAAGTAGCTCTTTTTTGCAAAAAAGAAAGGCAGAAAAAAGTGCTATGTAAGTACCACTACAGGTAATGTAACTGCTACTAAATAATACTGTTCCTTCCAAGCACTCAGGTGACTCTAGAATTTGTTCTGGAAATTTTAGACTTTTATAAAATATTTGTCAATACATCGTGAGGGGGAAAAGCTGATGTATGGAATCAGTTTCTGACTGTTCTGTGATGTGCTCCTTGGTGCTTTACTATGAAGAGATCACTATTTTCACTGCTAAATATGAGAGAACTGAAAGTTTGCATTTTTGTGGTGAACATTTTTAGTCATATGTAAATGATCATGAATAAAAGTTTAATTGCTTACTCTTGTTGGCTCAAATGCATTAATTTCAAACTTTTTTTAAGGCCTCAGAAGGGATGCTTTTGCATATTGGGACACTTATCAGAAGTACCCATTTGGTACATCTTGAAAGTCAAGATACTTTTACTATGCAGGGAAGCTGCATATAAAAAGTGGGGAAACTGTGCTATGGAGCAGTTAGCATAGATAAATGTTTTCATTGGCATAACCTCAGTACTGACTAATGACTTAACAATGGTTTGGCCCTGCAAGCTCTGCCTCCCTTAACATTCATCAGGACTTGAAACACTATTGCGAGGGCTTCTTTTCAGTAGCACCAGGGAAGATGTATGCAGTGTAGGCCCTGTGTCAAGTCAAATTCAATTGAAAGATAATACACTGTAAACAGCAGCTTAAAAAAAAAAAATAGGTAAGGGAATTGTTGTGACTTGATTGTTTTGTGAAGATTGTCTTTTGCATATGTAGGAATATGTCATTACAGGAATCCTTTAAGAATTCCTTATTGTGGGATTTCTGTTCTTGGAATTCCTTTACTTGCTTATTTGTAGTAAATAAGGAGATCTTGTACAGCTTCATCTGTGACAGTGTTTAGGGTCTCTTACATCTGTACTCGTGTGTTCTGTCAGACTTGGTTTACAGGTAAAGATATGTGTGCACTCACAGTAGATCCCATCAACTTCTGTGCCTTGGAAACTGTAACCTGCAGTACATTGGGATTGTGTCTAGCAAATTTTTATCCAGTTTTTGCCCTAGGTTTTCCTTTAAATGTAGTGAAGCTGAGTTTAAAAATTCCGGCCTTACTGACTTTTTACAGTTAACCTTTAAAAAGGATATATTAACTCTGAATTGATATTTAGACTCATAAATCAAGTTTGAAGTACTGAATTTTCTGTTTGTTTTTAAAATAACATTTAAGTGTGCATGTCTACATGAGGCAAGAAAAACCTCAAGCAATGCAACTTCAGAAAACATAACCTTTTGTATTTTTTTTGGTAAGCCTTTTAGACTGGGATAATTATGTCCACCTCAGCAGACAGGGTAGTGCAATCAAAGTGGATCCATAAGGCAAACCACTTCTTGCAAAAAAGCCTTTTTTCCATGCTGTGTATGTTTGGGGAGTTCTAGTATAACGCAGCTCTGCTTGGGTCCCGTATCCTGGCTGCGTATTTGTGCAATCCCCTGGGATACCTCTACAGGCTCCCTTCCATCTGAGAGCAGCCCGGCTGGCAGGCACAGGGAGTTGCCACAATGGAAACCTAAAGCTCGGTGAGTGGAGATGAGCGGGCAACGCTTAAACTGGTACAAGTTCAAGTGTTGATGTAGATGCACACAGCTCCTTTCCTGTAGTTGGTCTGTTCATACACACTTTCACCACTGCCTGGTAAGTTTTTCCTCCGAGGTGGATGTGACTGGTTCAGGTTTTTAAATGTAAAGTAGCTGATAAATTGGACTTATAACTTTCCTTTTTTAATACCCTAAGGTTAGAGCTGCTTTCCACAGGGGATCGTACCGGAGTTTTTTTGTGGCTTTGGCTTTTGATTATGAATATGAGAATAGATGTATGGGTGTGGTGAGGGATGAATGACTATGCTATTGAAAACCTAGTTAAATGAATTAGGGATAGTCAATGTTTTTATAGTCTGACAGCAAAAAGAAAAGAAGGGGCAGTCTGCTTTCTTCCCAGAACAAAATCCTTTGTCTCTAGTTCTGAACTGTCAGTACTTGCTCTAATTGTCTGGCAAATAGCTTTAATACTCATTTTTCTTTGGAGAGGCTGTTTTTGGTGGTCGATGGTTTAAATCAGATGTCATCTCACTCCGTTTACTTGTACAACTTAACAATGTTGATACTGCCCTTGTACCCCAAAATAAATGATTTGGGCATTGCTTTTTTGGCCTTCATTTGCCTCTCCTTTCTTGTTCACAAGAATGCATAGTGGCAGAGAGCTCCCTTAAATGGAGATGGCCTTGGCTTCTTCTTGGTGTCTGTGGAGTAAAGCCAGCACAGCTTGTTCACTTGCTCTGTCTGCTAGGAAGAGGAAGAAAAAATAGCCTGCTGTCCCTCTCTCTGGCTGACTTGCTTCGGCATGGTGGGCCAGTGACTCTCGATAGTGCTGAATGTGGTGCTGCAGTCAGGATTTTGCAAAATGCCAGAGAGGAACTGGCAAAAAACTGATAAAACCTAAGCAAATGGAAGCTGATCACAAATTTTAAGTCAGTATATCTCTCTTCAGCACCAAAAAAGTGGGAGGGTGCTATTGGTTTTATTTTCTGAACGTGTGACTACTGAGGGTAAATGAATACTTCTAAATTCTTGGCCATTTTGAGCAAAAGTTGCTCTATTTTCTGTAAGGCTGGCAATGAAGATTATTAACTAAAACTTAGGGAGAATACATGAGCCGTATCATACAAAACATGTAGAACATTAACAGTATTGCAACATTTTCTCCTGAATATAGAAAAGGATTTCAGAAATCCAGGGAACAAAGAGGGGAAGGAAGCTCATACTCCTGCATGCTTAGCTCTAATATCTGGCAAGATCTGAGGTGAAGCTAGTAACTGACAGATCATATATTTGGATTTTACTTTCCTTGTTTTACTTTCCTTTCATATTACATTATACTCCTCATGATTAATTCATTATGTGTTGAAATATTTTGAGTTTTGAATGACCTGGCTTATAAGTAGGTGGACAGACAAGCACGTGAATTCATGAGATGTTGGAACATCACATCTCAGTAGATGATTAATGCTGGATATTCTGTTCTTTCTGAAAACTAGTTAGACTTGTTCTTAATCTTCTTACATGTAAGAGTGTGCATAAAACAATCCTTGACATTTTCTTTGCCAGCTTTCTAAAACCGGGGACATACAGTGCAACTACTGGTCTGTCTTGATAGCTGCTAAACTAGAGCTCAGAAGGGACTCAGTTGTACTGCAGGGCCTCAGGTATAAGGAATGGATTTTTACTTTAATCCTACGTAGTATAATTTCTGTGCCTGTGTCTTCCAGTTTACTGCACTTAGGCAGCCGGTGTGCTGCCAAGAGCTGTCAGTTCTGTTCACGGAGAGAAAAGTAGCGCTGCCAGGCAAGAGTTATGCACAGGAAAACCTTAGGGAAGGTTTTTTGGTGTCTTTGTACAGAACTCACGTGGACACCCAGAGTCCAGGAACTGTACCCAGTAGCACAATTCCCACTGAAATCTTGCCTTTTTCCATAGAACCTCATCTGAGGATAAAGCTGATTGATCCTATTGCAGCCTTGGTATCTCTCGAGTTCCAGCTACTTAAATCCTCAATAAATGCTGCCTTGTATTGTTTGAAATTACACAAGGTTTTTACCTGTCAGCCATGGGAAAACATCTCTTTAAATAGAACGTGTCTGGAAACTGCTTCAAGGTCTAGGAGGGGCTGGTTAGAGAGAAAAAGGTAAGCTAAGCCAGAGGAGTGCTTTCCTAAATGACTCCTTGAAAGTAAGGGAAGATCATTCTTCTGTCACACTCGGTTGTCACAGATTTCTGAAGCCAGCTGATGCTTTTAGTGTCACTCATCTTAACATGGCTTGCAGGGATGTCTGTAAGAGCATGATAGGTGTGTTGTTGAAGTAGGGGTTGATGTGAAAGACGAGCTTAACCTGCTGCTTAGAAGCCCACAGGGTGCTGGGCTGGTAACTGGAAACAAACAAATCTGTCCTTTCATTTGTAAACTGCATGGATTCCCAACTTGTATTTGTTTGGATCCATTTCCAGAGTAGCGTTCCAGTGGATAACATTCTCTGCATCAGTCTGAGGAGGACAAGCAGTTTATGAATAATAAAAGGAAGTTGGTATTTGAGCAGTCACAGCTTCTGGGGTTAGAATGAGAAAACCTTGTTTTATTTTTAGGTGATTCTGTACAACTACTTTTTTGACCTGTTGGAGTAACAAAGACATTTGAGTAATACAGGTTATTAGATACTTTATGACTATTATGTTGTCGTGGTGAGGGGATCTTCAGACCTGAGGATATTAAGTGAACCAGCTAGGGTGTGTAGATTTAAAGCTAACTAGCTACTCCCACTCCTGGTTGTGGGCTGCTCTTAGTCTCCGTTGCATGCAAGATAATTTATTGCACCTTTGCTGAAGGATATACGATCACACGCTTGAGAAGCTCAGTATCTAGTAGATGTGCAAGTCTGACCAAACAAGACCTTCCTGCCTCAAGCTCCCTGGAGAGTCTGGATGCAGGGTGGTGCCTCAGATATAACACACATCAACAGGATCAAACTCTTCACAATAAATTATGCTTTTTCATACAGTAAGTTGGTGCCTGCAAATAAGCATCAGCAGGTGAGAAGGGGCAGGAACAGTCACTGGAGAAAAAAGAAACAGCCTGCGAAGCAAGAACTGTCACCTGGGATTTTCTTTCTGCTCAGCTACAGTCTTATTCGCTTCTCTCCTGTATGAATCCAGCATTGTTGTTTCTGCTGGAACAGATGGACTGCCTGAATATTTACCCTGGTTCTTGGACAAAGTTTTACAGCCTGGGTGAACTCTGGCCTAGTTTAGAGCAAGCTTGGATGAGCCCGCGTCCTTCCCGTAGGCGTGACCTTACTGGTTTCTGCTGGGCCTCGCTTCTGGCTTGCATGAAGCACAAAAATACAGCTCCAGACTTGTCACACACTTCCACGTGGGAACCTCTCGGTTTGTTCTTGAAGTTGGCATGAGCTCATTATGAATGCCTTGAAAATCGATGGCCTTCTTACTTCCAACTGCTAATTTGAATTTTTATTTTAAAAAACCCACCAACATAGGGTTAATATTAATAACAAGTCACCAAACTACATTCTTTTCAGAGTTTAAAAATCCACATATTTTAAACCCATCAGTGCAGGCACTTCACTCTTGTGTGTAAAATACTTAGTACAAATAGACTCTGATCTTGTTTAGAGTGCTCGGTAGTTCTAATAACACTGCTGAAAAGGGTATCAGTAACAGGGCTTGCAGGCAAGTGGATGAGTCTAAATT